GTAAGAGAATCAGCAATCACTTTGTATAAATCAGTCCAAGTGATGTTCAGAAGTAAGAGTTTGAAGTATTCAGCAATAATGTTAACGTTCAATTTGATCAATTATATTCACCTTACAACAGTAAAATTTAACAAGCACAAACTTGTGTTTTCATATACACCGACACCATGAGAATATAAACATGGTACAGTATTGCTAACATATGATCCTTCTTTTCATTCCAAAATGAAACTCAGTTGCATCTCAAGTGTTTGAGCCTCCTCATTTCTGCATCTAAGATTCTAAATAATGCATCTAACAACTACATATGAGGGAAAAAAAGGAAAGAAAATGCCTGCTCTAAATGAAAGTCAGATGTTGTATAAGTATCAATATGAGCTATCATATTTTATCTTACTCCTCTCCATAAGATAAAATTAACTTCTCTTTTGTGGTCAGTGAGTCCAAAAGTAATTTCTGTTCTTCCTTAGGCGGGACATGTGTTTATGGACTCTTAAGTTATCACAAGTGGCAGGTTTTCAATTTTAATGCTTATTACCTCAGCAGTGTCAGACCACAAGTTCGCATCTTAAACTACATGGCAACAAATGCAACATCATCACGTAGCAGACTAACTATGCAAGACAATAGTAACACAGCCATAAAAGCACATAACCCACCATTAAATATAAGCAACTTAATTAAAACGCAAGATAATCCAAACTAGCCTTTAGAAATTCATTCAACCCACGAAAGATAGGGCTTGAGAAATTCTTAACAAGAACCAAACCTGAGTGTGACCTCGAAGCAAAGATCTCAATGCAGTATTGATGTTAAGGACCCGAATCGCCCCCAACTTCAACCCATAACATATATAAGTCCTATTAACCGCAATCTGACGACCCACAACCAGTCCCGGATCAGAAACATACTTGGTGATTGGTGTAACTTCGAGCTGAGGCTGAACCTCGCCCTGCAACCTAACGTCCACGTCATACACCACATGGTCGCCAATTAAATGACGCCCCTTAGGGAGCTTGCTGCTCGGCAACCGCATAGGCGTCGATGGGGACATCGCCGGATTCAAGGGTGGCGCTGAGGGAATCACAGGCAAGATTGGCGGATTCATGGACATTGGAAATTCGGAAATGCCCGAAGACGGCAATGCCGCCGAGGGAGAAGGTACCGCCGGAGGCGGCAATTCGATGTTGCTGGGTGGGTTAGTGCCCAGTAGGGCCATGAGTCTGGCTCCAGGGTTAGGGTTTGGGGAAGGGAGATGAGGAGGCTGTAGAGGGGGTGTGGGATAAGAGATGGGCCTCTGGTGGTGCACGTTAGAGAACTGGTCTTGTGGGTAGTGGAGGTAATGGTGCTGAAATGGAGGAGTTGGGGGTGGGTACGAGAATGCGCCGGTGGGCAGAGGATAGGATGAAGAAGGAGGTGCAGGGTAAGAAGACGGAGGGAACGGTGGGGGAGTTGAGGTGTTAGGGTTTGCTGGTGTAGGGTTTGAGGAGGGTTTGAAGAACTTGTGCATATCGAAGGGTGCGGATTGATTTGGATTCCCGGAGGAAGCCATCGGAGGGAGGGATGAAAGGTCAGAAGAACAAGACGTAATCGTGTGCCGGTGGTATGCAGGTGGAGATCTGGTAAATTTTAAGCATCAAAGCGCACACTAAGGCCTGATCTACTTTGAGTGAAGAATGGAGGAGAAGGAGAAGGAGAAGGAGGAGAAGGAGAAATGCTGGAAATCGGGACGAAAGAGTAGGGAGTGGCAATTTAATTAATACCCTAAGTTGTGATTTAAATAACAAAAATGCCCTTCACAAGGTCCATCCCATGTTCAATATTCCCATTGCCATTAATACAGGATACAGCACTAATCTAAAGAAGCCACGAACCCGGTTTAAGTTTTTTCCTTTATCCAACCCAAAAGTCCGGTTTAATTGCTATTGACGATGAATGATTGAATGGAGTGGTCAAACAAACTATTATAAAAATAAGAACTTGACAAATTCAGGAAGCAAAAGGCAGTGTGTTGGATCTGAAACCGCAAAACCCGTGAAGAGGATTAAATTTGAGGCCCCCTATGACACAAACCCAACACGTCCACACTCCACATGGCCCATGTTTAATAAGGGTAGATCAAGTATTTCATCTGATTTGGGCATTGCTTTTGAGCCCATCTATCTTTTGGTGGCCCTAAAATCTAGACAAATGGCAAGTTTTTTTCCTTTTTTTAGCTTTTTGTTTTAGGATGAGCATTGCACGTGCAGGGCCCATGTAAGCGTGTAAACGATAGAATGATGATCCATCAAGATCAAGAATGCTTATGGCTCCCCCCATCATGCACCTTTGATGTGGGCCACTTGGCAAAAGATGTGATGATGGGTAGATCATTTGTCGTTAATTATTTATATGGCATTTTCTTTTTCCATCTAATTCAAGGGTTGGACTATGATACCGGAAAAACATGATACTAGAAAAAAATAAACTTATAATCAATCAATAGGTATCATAAAAGAGGTGACCAATTAATTCCACTAATCCACTTGTTATGTAATTGGGATTTCGTCCTCACACCATTCTCACAGTCCTTACAGCTATGCATTCAAATATCTTCTCCCCATAAATAAAGATAATATAAGCATGAAGATGTTCCCAATGCACGGACGCAAGGGCTAATGGGGGTGTTAGATAAAACTGTTGGTTTATTTTATAAATAATCAATAAAAATAATATAATTTTGCTAATGTATCAGTTGTTTTTTGTTTTACAAAAACAAAACTAATCATGTTGTCCAATGCCCCACTAACTCAAATACCAAAAAAATAATAATTGCACTACTGTGGATGTTTCTCATAATTCTTTCCTTTCTTAAATCCCACATCCTTCTCTCAGGGTTCCATTTGTTGAATTTAAGTCTGTTGACAACAAGACCTTACAGTTACACATCACAAGCATTTACTGTACTTTTTTTGTTGTTATTCATGGTGGAATGTTCTAAATGTCTAGCTGTAATGTCTTGTGTGTAATATGGAAACAAACAAAAGTTTTCCTAAATATTATTACTTCACAATGTTTCTTTGCCTGTAAATTGCTTGTGGGAAGTGAGGCCATGTTTGGTTCAATTCTCATTTTTATCAAAGATAAAATTCTAAAATAGATAAGAATAGGTAAAAATAGGCAGAATGAGAAAGTGCTTTCATGTAAAAATACTTTTACAAAAGTGTTTTCGCAAAAGTACTTCCACAGTAGTCCACTAGTAAACATCTATGGCAAAAGTTTTGTAGGTAGAGTTTCCTCAAAGAATGAAAATGAGCAAGGCATGATTATTTTTCATGTTGTAGGCTACCTCAACTGTTGTGCTATGGGTTCATTTTTCATTTTAAAAAGGAATGTAGTTCATGGCAAGAATTTTGTAACCAAACACTCTAATGTTATTCATTCTTACCCAAAATGAGTAAGAATTAAAAGAATGAGACCCATAACAGTGAACCAAACATGGCCTGAACATTTTCAAAGGAAAGTAAATATTAATGTTACATTCCATCTAATTTTTAGGGTAAATTGTTGAAACCTCCACTGAGGTCTCACCATTGCTGAACCCTCTCCCAAAGCTTGGTAATTGCAATCACCTCCCCCCTAAACTTTCTAATACAATTGCAAGTAGATCCCTTTTGTTATCCTATGCATCTTCCATTGAGGTTGGTCTCTACTTTATACAGAAAAAATAAATACATACTTTATGAGCAACAAAAGAAAAGAGTTTTTAAAGCTGCAGTTTTACCTTTAAGTGATTGATATAAAGGGCAAATTTGAAAAACAAATTAATTTTGTAGAAGATATTGTAAGGACTTGGGATAGGCAATTGATATGAAGAGAAAATTCGAAAAATAAACATTTTGGTCAAAATTAAAATGCATGGGTACTTTGGACATTTGTGTGCCTCTTGTTAATGGATTCTAATTGAGAATGTCTAGTTGCAATTGTGTCAAAAAGTTTAGGGGAGGTAATTGCAATTAACTTCAAGGGAGGTTTCAGAAACAATAAAAAACTTCGGGGGAAGTTTTAGCTATTTGCCCTAATTTTTAATATGTTATTTCCAAATAAATGTTGGTCCTCTTTGATTCAAAATCATGCAATATTCATATATTTAACAACTAGCCGGATGTATTTTATAGATTAAGAAAAATACCCAAAAAAATTAGGGATCTATAAGTCATTTCACACACTTTTGTTTTGAACTATGATCATCGTGGAGGAGCAATTTCATGTTTACAAACTTGCTACGTAGGGTTTCATGAAAAAAAGAATAACTCATCTTCCATTTTCCTCTTGAGCTCTTCACTTTTGCTCATTGTGACAATGGCCTTATGCTTAGGTAATTTTGTGGCATTTCTTAAAACAAATACAGCCAAAGAGCCTTCTAAAAGTGCTGGTCTTGGAGATTACTAGCAAATATTATGAAACTTCAAATTATAATTTGTAATTTTTTGTAGTTAATTAAGAATTTAAGATGATTTATTAAGACTCCTGAAACAAACATCAAGACCCGGACACCCCCAAGGGAAAATATTTTGGTGGGATGGGATGGGGTGAGATGAAAAAGGGGAAATTGGAGGAAAATTTTCGCATTCCATTATTTGATTGCAAATGGAAAAATAGTGGGAACAACAGCCCAATAACAATCATTAATCAATCAATTAATTAATTAATTAACAGTGATTATTACTATTATTTAATATTTTATTAATTAATTATTACTCTATTTATTAATTATTAAATTTTGTTAAATGATTACTCATTTTATTTATAGGTCATAGGTCTAATATTAACTCTTATTTCTTATACATCATACTTGTTTTTGTCTAATATAATGGATACATATTAATATACTATCAAATATATGCTAAATTTTGCCACAATATTTTGTGTTTCCCTATAATTTTTGTTTGTATTTTATTTATTTATTAATTATATATTTTCTTACTTAATTATGAGATTAATTCATTTGACCCAAATGATTGAGCTAATGACCCACCTGAACAGAATAGTGGTTCCATTCTGGATTGGAATTAAAAATACCATAAGGTACTTTTTTGTTATGTTAAACAAGCTTCCCACTCTTTTTTCACACTAAAAAAATGGTGTCATTCCACTTCCAGAATTTGAAAACTGCAATCCTATATCCTGCAAAGCAAACATATAAAAAGAAGAATATTCGAGAATATTCATTTTTTTTCCTTTCCACCCCATAAGCCAAACACAACCTAATTTCCTTACAATTACTCTTGGCACACAACATTTGATGAGATGATACAAAATACTGAAGCAATTTTGAGTTTTGTCGTGGATCTAAAATTCTAAATCGGTTCGGGAAGGTGGTCAAGCTTGCAGCATTTCACTCCTTCGACTCAGCATTTGATGCTCTCAATGGATTGAGGCATTGAGCCATCTGGGTTTTGTAAAACTTTAGATAKGTATTTTTTTGATGCAACGAGCTTGCTTCAATTCCTTTGCTTGTTTTTGGAGATGGTGACAACTTTTGATTTTAGACTTTAGACTTTAGACAGGGAAACTAATATATGTCCGTTTCAACGTGGCACAAAATAGAACTTTTCACCCAACGATCCCAACCAAACACAAAGGACTCGAGTGGGTAGTCTCAGGAAAGGAGTGGATTTGAACCTAACCCAAGGATTTGTTCTACCACTGTTACCAAAGAAATGGTTATGATTCCTACTCTGAAAAATTATTTGCTATTACTGATGCAATGACCCCTAGCCACACATGTTAATCAAAACCACTTTTGAATATAGGATTGAATACATGAATCCAACCCATCTTACACTTGTTTCAATACTACGATCCACTGTGTTCAAGCACCAAGCACCAAAAACGGGTTTGACCAACAAGCATGGTTTGCACTGCATTCGTCTTAGTTATTTTATCATGTTTCATTTATTGCATGTTTGTGGGCTCCTTGAATGAACTTGGCTGAACTGGAACTGGGTGTCTACCCAAGAACCCAAGTCAAATATTATAATCTGGCAGTTGATTCATAACCATTCTAACTTTGGCCTCGATTAGAGTCGATGGTCCTATAACCTACAAGAGATTTGCTCCACTTATAGATCAAGATTGGAATGGAGTGCACTGTATAAATGGTATTATAACCATTAACCAGGACTCTTTGCTTCACAATCTGTCCCGCATAAGCAAGTAGGTTCATGGTTCAAATTAAACTGAGTGTGCATCAAAATCAAGTTCGTTGACATTAAGATACAACTTCACTAACAAGAACAAGCTTCACTATATCACTAAATGGAATACCAGATTTACAAGCCAAGTAACAATTAACAAGAACAAACCAAAGGGAATTATACAACTATATCACATTTCCATATTGGATTAATTCGTTGATTTGGTTCCTATAGTCGAAACAACTAATAAGATTCAACAAACAGAGAATATACTATCAGAATGGAAAAAGTAAGAGCTATCTGACTTGGTAAGTGGGTTTTCAAATCTCAACTGCAACAGCCTCCTGCTTGAGAAGCAGAGCCATCTCTGCCTCCTGATGGGCCAGGGATTCCTCCATATCCAACTTTTATTCCATAAGACTGCAGAGAAAAAGGACAACCAGATCATCAGAAGGTCCATCTTCCATCAAGCTGCTATAATATTCAATCATATCTTTATATTCTATATTGTAACTTGAAAAGATTTAAGGAAGCAAACCTCATTTGAAACATCAAAGACCCCTTCCTGAATCTTCTTATAAATTGTAGCAGCTGTGCTTATGAACGCCTGAAATGAATTACTTGCCAGCTTCAGAAATAAGGAAAATAGCAAACCTCAAATTACAATGACCATTATAAAACCACCAAGCTTCGGGTAGCTCTCACAGTACGTAGTAAGGTCCACTACCTCTTCAACATTCTGAGCAGTTTTTGCAGAGGCTTCCATGAATATCAACCCATTCTCCTTGGCAAATTGTTCACCTTCTTCTGTACTCACTGCCCTTCTATGAGCAAGGTCACACTTGTTACCAATAAGCATAATTGTCATGTTTGCATTTGCATGCTGCCTTGCATCTTCAAGCCAGCTAGCCAAATGATTAAAAGTTTCCCTCCTGGAAAAATGTGAGCAATAAATAAAATGCATATAACTAGAAAAATATACACTTAAGAATATATAATATTAAGGCACGATCAGGATGTAATCTACACCTATTTAATTTAATCATATCCCATGCATGTCTTTGGAGCAAAACCAGCTCTCCTTTCATGCCATAATTTACCAATAGGACAATTCTGCAGACTACAGAACTAGAAATTTTAAATTAAAATTATCTTATTATCCTAGCTATTTGAAATTAAAAAAAAAATTATTGGTTTCTATAATTAGATTAAGTAGCCACATGCCACATGCATTGCAGGTGTAAATTGGGGAGAACCCATATTTGTCCCCTTTACAACAGGTAATAGAAAGTAGAAGATTGGAATCTGGAATTCAAAATTAATGTGAAATGTGGACTAAACTGGAGGAAAAAAAAGGGGATTATAACTGATAAGGACAACTTTTAGGCCCTAATATCAATAAAAGAAACCCTTTTAATATAATTTCTAAAATAGGTTAACTTTTTAAAAAATATATCAAATAGGAGCAAAAACACTGTTCATCTTCTTCCTCTTCCAAACCACTTCCACCCCAGCCCAGCCCTGCAAACCTCAATGACCACCATCCACCAGCGCCGCCTCTGGCAACCTCCAGCAACGCCTCCGCCCACCTCATGTCATCAGATTGGTGTTGCCAGAGGTGGGCGGAGAAGGAAGTGGTGGCAGCGGCGCTGGTGGATGGTAGTCATTGAGATTTGCAGGGCTGGGGCGGAGGTGGGCAGAGGCGGCGGCGGCGGCGCTGGTGGATGATAGTCATTGAGATTTGTAGGGTTGGGGCAGAGGTGGGAAGAGGCGGCGTTACTGGAGGTGGGTGCAGGCGGAGGCGTTGCCGGAGGTTGCCAAAGGCGGTGGTGGCGCTGATGGATGGTGGTCATTGAGGTTCATTGGGCTGTGATGGAAGTGGTTTGGAGGAGGAAGAAGATGAGCAGTGTTTCTGCCCTTATTTGATATATTTTTTAAAAAGTTAACCTATTTTAGAAATTATATTAAAAGAATTACTTTTATTGATATTAGGGCCTAAAAGTTGCCCTTATCAGCTATAATCCCAAAAAAAAGTGTTGGAGCAGAAAAGGAATAAAGAAGGGAGAAAGTTGATGAGAAGGGGATGAAACTCCCACTTATAGAATAGCTAGTAGATAAATGGACCAATCAATACAAGTTTGACTGACAACAAATACTTAGACAATTGGTTTCCCATTTGATTCATCCATGCATATCAACTGTGTTTCCAAAGGATAGGATGCTCCTATGACATAGTTTCACAATTCAAGTAGGAAAGTTACCTGGTTATATCGTAGACTAGCAAAGCACCTGCAGCCCCTCTGTAATATGACCTTGTAATTGATCTGAAAGATTCTTGACCAGCCTGATATATTCATAGGAACTTCAGCATTCATAAAATTCTAATTTTGGTGGATAAGAAACAAATTAACCTCAGTTCAGAATTATTGTACCAAGGTTTTATGCAATTCTAGAAGTACAATTACATTGTCACAACCTATCATACCCAGATACCTGTACAATAAAAAAAAATAATTTGCTCCTTGAATGAAGGACGCAAGTGTCTTTCTGAGCAGCTAAGTGGACAGGTTAACCAGCATTGAACTAAGGTTTTTTTTTTTCAGGCTGATGTTCAACCTGATTACTTGTGTGTCAGTAAAATGCACAGAAGGATGCTTGCATCCATCATTCAAAGAGCAAAGATAAACTCTGTCCAAGGGTGTTGTATCATGTTGAATACTTCAGTTTTTAGTTACATACCTAACAGATACTCAATTATGATTAACAATGTTAATACAATGCAATCCAATTACAGATACTCAAACAAGGTGATATAAGTTTATTAGGTTGACCTTGAAAATATACATTTGGCTTCCCATAGTGAGGTTTATTGATGGAGAAAAAGCCTCTCCCCCCCTCCCCCAAAACTCCTACAGCCTAAAAAATTCTAATCTCATCTTCAGAGCAAGACATATAGGAGGAATTGACTTTTAACTTGTTAGGCCAGGTTTAAGGCCAACCCTAACCCAACCCGACCTACCAGACCTAATCCTAACCCAAACTAAATTCTTTCAACCCTAACCCAACTCGAAGTCTCAATTTGGGCTGGGCTTGGGTTGGGCCCAACCCAACCTTCTTCCCATCCCTTAAAACCTCGTAGAACTTTTCAATTTCAGATCTTAACTCAACTTTCACTACATATATTAATCCTATGTTTCATTAGTATTTGTTTGTTGACATTTTTATTGGTTCTTTTGGTACAAAATTCAGAAAAATAAGTGTTTAAAATTACTATAGTTTATTATGAGCAATGACTTATGATAGATCTTTTATGGGTGGCAAATAAAATATTCAAAAAACATAAAATATGTTATTAAGGTTTTAGCCTTTCCGATTAGGATTAAGTGAAGTGATTATCGTAAAAGAAATACATGATACTATGTGGTGGGGGCTATACAACTATTATGCATCTAAACAAATCAATGTATGATATATTACATATAACATATATTTATATATGACATGTACTATAGAGTGGGGTTCGGGTTGAATCAGGTTGCCCGAGGGGTTAACCCTAACACAACCCAAAGTAAAGTCAGGTTCATGAATTTCAACCCTAACCCTAACCCGAGCATTGACCTAACCCAACCCAACCCRACTTTTTTGGGTTGGGTTCGGGCCAACCCAGCTGAAGTTGCAACCTTACTATCAGATCCAATCGGATCTTTGGATCAGATCGGATCTGACATGAACAATGTTGGATCGAATTCGGATATACCCTATTCGAATCTGATCCAATCTGTTTGTATCCCTAACAAAGGCAAGAAAGAGGGAAGGACAGCATGGATGCCCTTCCAAGGGGAGGCTAGTAGCCCTAGCAAATACTCCAACATCTCAATTGTCAGCTGCAAGCCCATGAATGTCTACCAGTACCACTATTATTTAAATGTTTAGATAATAGGTTTTCTAAAACATTTATTTTAAAATTTTAAGTTTATATTTTTTTTATTAACACTATGTTTAATATTTTTTTTGCATTTTTTTTTATTTTTTTGCCTTTTTTCTGACTTTTTTTTAGCTCTTTTTTTTGTATTTTTGCAGCTTGCTTCAAAAAGGCGCATGTATCGCTTTGCGCCTTGCTCTTTTAAAACACTGCTTTATCCACTTGCACCATCTCTCCCTAAACCCAAAGCTCCTCAAAACTTCCAACAAGAAAGAATAGTCCACCATATCATAACCTTTTTCCAAATCCAGTTAACACACAAAGCCTTCCTTTCCTTTTCTCTTGAAGTCCCCCACGAACTCATTGGCAATTAGGATTTGATCAATTATTTGTCTACCTCTTACAAAGAGCACCTTGATTTGGAGAAATAATGGAAGGAAGAGCAACCATCATTATCATTTGCCTTATTGACCAAAGAAAGATATAAGGTTTTAAATAATCCCTACAATCTTCAATACATTACCTTTTCAAAAAAGAAAGAAAGAAACCATACAATATTGAATAACTTTTGGATTTTCCATTCAGGCTCCATTTGGTTGCATGTAATATGGAGGTAAATAAATCATTTCTGCAGAAAATGCTATTTTAACATGCCTGGCTGGATATAAAATGACCATGGAAAACAAACCTTCTCCAAAAAGTGCATGGTATTTGTAGGAAAAACAGAATTCCTTATTATTTTCCACATGCCATTTTCCTAACAGTATCTAGCAACACCTATATATTTCCCAAATCTCAACCATCCAGGTTTGCCTTTCAAATTAAGAAGAAACACCAAGAAGATAGAAAATTAATTTGTTTTCTTATAGAGTATTATTTTCTGAGGATATCATTATCACAAGCTCTAATGCAGTACTTTTATTACATGAAAACCCCATGTTATCAAGCAACAAAACTATCAATGCAAGCTCTGGAAAAATACTACTACTCTGACTGCTCTTTATAAAATATAATATTTCATGCCAAATAATGGCTGCCTTACCAAAACCTATTGACTTAATGTTAGTTCATGAAGAATCAACCAAGCATATTAGTATTTAGTAGTAGGAGCAAAGGACCCTGGAAGAGGCTCAACACTCAACTAAGAATGTTGACCAAGAGATATCACATGCATAAAAAATGATGAAGGTGGAAATAAGCACTTTAGATTTCATCAATTTATGTTGCCCTTTAAGCAAACCAAAATAAGCGTTTGCCTGTCAAGTGACTAAATATAATTCATGAATTATTGAGAAATAACTATAGTGTCATGTCAAACAAACTTTTGTCATCAGAACCTAAATAATTAAAACATCTTGAGGACCAAATTAGAACAAATTCAGACAGACAAAGTATTAGGTCTAGCCAAATACAGAATGAAGAGTATGATGATGGTGGTGATGGTGATGCAAAAATATAATCGCAATGAAGAGCACCATATATCTAGAGATTACAGACTAGCAGAAAATAAAACATTCTACTAAAAGGGCGAAACTCAAAATCAATTGTGAGAAGCAACAGCCAACATTAGTGTTGCTTTAAGTTTTTTTTAATAAATAATAGAAATTTTATTAGAGCATAATTAAGTATCACATGATTACAGAGTACATCCAGCAGAGGTGCAAGATGCAGCCCCGGCCATATAAACAGATTACAACTGAACCCAGAATAATTCAGACTTATGCACCCCCTGTTTTGCAAAGAAATCAACTATCCCGTTAGCTGGCCGCCTTTCCCATTGGACTGAAATTGTCATATCTCTGACCAGCCACTTAAATCTTTTCATATATTCTTTGTATTTCCAAATTACAGTTTCAGGTTCCTTCAGCCATCCCGTTAGTGTTGCTTTAAGTTAATAACCATTGAACTAGCAATATGAACAAATTCATCTCAACATATCAGTCTCTGAGTCCAACTAGCTTCTGTATGTAAAAAAAGCCAAAAAAAAAAGAAACAAGAAAACAAACCGTGTCCCATATTTGCAGCTTTATTGACTTATTATCAATTGTGATCATTCTAGCACCAAATTCAACCCCAATAGTTAAATCATGCACTGGTTGGAACCGCTTGTCTGTGAACTGTAAAAGAAGACATGATTTGCCAACTCCTGTAAAACAAAAAGAAAAGAAAACAGTTGTAAATCACACCTGCAATAATTTGAATTAAAAGAAAAGAAACAGGAGAAAAGAAGGAGATTGAAGAGAGAGAAGTGATGGATGAAGAAGATGGAAGAAAAGGAAGAAGAGAGTAGTTCAAAACCTCTCTTCAACCCCCAATGATCTCGTTTATTCTTTTGTTGTTAAAAATAAGGACAATTACATGAATGCACTTAGTAGGGCGTCCATCACTAAAGACAGCAATAAAAAACAATAATAAAAGAGATAACAGACCCATAACTAAGGCCCACTACCTACTAACACAAGTCATAAACCTAACTTACAGAAAAACAAAGAAACTAAGGCCCATTCGACCCATTATCTCTACAAAAACATATATAATTGAACTGCCTCTTCCTCTCATCATAACTTAAACAAATAAATTCCTAATCTAAGATGAACAATAAACACATGAAGAAGACAGCTTGAGATAATGCTCAGGTAGATAGTACAAGTCCAGACACTGACATATCAGCCTGGAGAAAGAGAATTTGAGTTTGGTATATGTTTTTGTTGGGGTGCATAGAATTATATATATATATATATATATATATATATGTATTAAAGGAAGGTTTTCAGGCTACAGCTCCCCACCATTCAGACACATGGCCTTCTCATTTTTCTAGAAATCTAGACACGTGGCATTTTCTAAGAAGTTGCTGTTAAAGCCCACAACCCACTACCACCATTCAGATAAGTGGCCTTCTCATTTTATGGAAAGCTAGACACGTGGCAATTTCTAAGAAATTCCTGCTAAAGCCCACAGCCCACTACCAGCCTACAGCCCCCCACCATTCAAACATGTGACCTTCTCATTTTTCTAGAAAGCTAGACACATGGCATTTTCTGAGAAGTTGCTGCTAAAGCCCACAACCCACTACCACCATTCAGATGCGTGGCATCCTATTAATTCAAGAAATAGGATTCAAAAAGTGGGTAGTTTCACGTAGACAATTATTTATTAGCTTAACACATGTTTATCCATAGTCTATTAAATACAAATGGTAGGACCCATTAAAAGATTACCGTAAACCCACATTTATTTTTAAATGTTTTTTTTCAAAAAGAAAATACTTTATTAATTACAAACTTGATTTAACTTTTAGGACGCAACCTAATTTAACTTTTAAAAATAAATAATTCAAAATACATCTATTAGATAAATAGTAAATACCAAATAAAGTGGGTTATTGTTTATCAATAAGATCTCATTTAATATCTTAAATCAAATTAAAAAAAGCATAAATTAATAGTGGGTTTCAAATAAAATAGGTCAGAATAAATTGTCAATTACAAAGATGTAAGACCCATATTAGTTTTTCTAATTTAATTTTTGATAACTAAATAATAAACTTCAAACTAAATTATAAACACATTTAGTTACCCCGCACTTAGTACAGGGGTCATTCTCTAGTATATAATAAAAGGAAAGAAAAATAACATGACAGCAGGGTTAGAATGGAACCCAGAAGCCAAAGTGAGAATAGAAGGAATGCATAGAGAATGCAAAACTGAGAAGTTGACCGAATGTTATACATAATAACAGAGACAACTATGACTTATTAACCATGCAACAACTATGTACATGTGAAAACAACTCCTTAATCAGGTCAACTAGGGAGTTTCCCTCTGACCTACCCTATTGCTGCCATTAGGAGAAATGGTGTGGCAGATCATAACTGTCCAATAGGTAAGGTATCCTCCGGATTGGAAGTGTCCAGTCCTCTGGTCCACATCAGCACCATACCCCAACTTATATTAGTAGTTCCTTAATAAATATTAGCCATTCAAAGAAACTTGCCCAACAAGGACCTAGCATGAACACATGGGAAGTGCTTTGGAGCATAAATTTTCCCCATGAATAAAGGGCAGCAAAACAAAGAATTTGGAGCCCTTTGGAATTCCCTAAGCAATTCAACTAGAAAATTGCCATATAAATGAGAGAGAGAGAGAGAGCAGAGAAATGTATAAAAATACAGGAGTACTCCATGTGGCAGCATGATTTATCACCCCTGCTTGTCTGCACTCTCCATCACCCACTCTGGGGGCAAGTTTCAGCCTGCAAGTCCTTGACACTTGTCCAACATATACCCTTCTCATTGGTTTTCATGTATTAAAATCTTAAAAACTTTGACCTTTTTTTGGTATTTTTAATTACCAATTACATTTGGACCATTAATATCACTAGAGGAAAGCTCCAACACAATGCTGGGTATGGGTTGACATGGCATGTGAAGGTAACATGGCCAATCCAGATAGTCCCTTCTGATGAAGAATCTGCACCACTTCCAGCATCTTACCACTTCTAAGGGTAGAGGTTTATTGTTTAATATTTATAATACAAATCTGACCTAATAATCTTAAACATGGCACTTCAGTTGTCAGTCCAAACTCTTCATTCCATCAGCTTTTATGCATGACATAAATTTTAGCTGAAAACCCCTGCCACTGTATTGTCCAAACCAAGACAACTTTGTTCCAATTCCACCCAGTGAGCTAAAAAATGTCCCACTGTCTCCTAAACCTAAAAGTTTCCTATATTTCTCCTCTTTCTTCTAGGTTCTCCATGTCCTCTGTGTTTGGTAGAAGTAGTGTTTCAAAAGGGTGTCCCTTGGGTGCACCCAGGCTCACAATCAAGGCCTATATCTTATAGTGTGCACCTTACCTAACTTGTTGCTACATTCAGATGAACTAACCTTGAAGTCAATGTTGGAACCATAATTTAGTATATTGTAGCTTGCAGGGTGTACTTAACTACCTATGATTTACAGAGTTTAAACAGTTTCTCCTATGTAGGACTTGAATGTACGAGGTTAGAACTTTCATTTTAATGAGATGATACACTAACCAATTGAGCAACTAAGATTTTTGAAATATTTTAATCCTTTGAAAGACTGGGTAGAAGCTATTTGGTCGAGCAACTCAAGCACCAGAGTTCCAACAAATATAGCTTCATTTTGAGAAGTGGTGCACACAAGCATAAATAAAAAACTTCGAAATCATCTCTCATATTAGCATTTTGTAAAAGAAAATAGGGAGTCAATTAATCACCTCAGTATTCACGGTGAATTCACTACCAGAAGTTAATATCATACCTTTCTTCAGCTCACTCATGGTGGAAACTCCATGCAAATAACCCCAGCCAATTCTGGCATGGTCTTGTATCACCTCACACTGGAAGAAAACACGGTGATACTACTTTTTGGAGCATTTGGGAGGAAAGAAGTTCTCAAATTTTCTCCAACGGAGTATAGTATTCATAGAAAATTATTAATCTTGTCATGATTAGAGTAGCCTTTTAGATCTTAAAATAGACAAATCCATAAACATCATTACAGGAGGTAGTGTCCTGTGCAGAACTGATCCCTTCTAACACAAGGGACTAGTGAGCTCAAATTTGATGGATGTTTGTTAATAACCCTGTTTTCCGAACTGAACCTGTCAAGTGAGCAGAGAAGAAGAAGAGGAAGAAAAAGAGGAAGAGAAGAGGAGAAAGGAAGAAATGTTCGAATGGGCACTGTTCATCAGCAGGCCATGTTCACTTATATAATAACAGTACATAAAGTTACATAAAAGGACCAGGATGCCCCTGATTAGTGATGGGACACCCAGTCAAATAAGACACTAAATAAAAATAGGCCCATTAACTAAAGACTTAATACCCAACCCAGACAAGAGGATAACAAAATATCAGCCGAACCAACAAACCCTAAGGACTTCTGGTGTGGGTTAAAGCAAAGGGCAATGTCATTGTAGCATTTTCCAGCATTGGCATTGATGGGAAGGGGCAATGCTGAGAAAAGTGCCCATCAGGTTTTAACCCAAGTAGACACTTGCTCTCAACCTCTCAGCCCATAATATCAGTACACTGCCCACAAGGAAGGACCTCTTCCCTAACTGGAAGATGTAGTGTCACACCCTCTAGTTAGATGGATCCTAGGATTAAAACTTTTTACAAACATTTAATAAAATAACTATTTATAGATACAAAGACATTTTGCAAACTGATTTCAAAACAAGTTGAAATCCACTATTGGCAGTTTTAGGTTTCCATTAGAGAGGGTGTAAACCAATATATTCTCTTTGTCTGACAAAGTGGCTAATCCTATCAAATGATAACCCACTCAAATGTTATTCTAAACTACTCCAGCATACCCCAAGTATTTGACCCTAAGTGATCTCATTGGTTGTCATATCAAAAGCAACTCAATCCAACATTTAGTGAAGTATCACTATCAAGTTTGGGATCAAGTGCAACTTTCCAATTTTGCCAAAGTCCAGGGCGTAACTGGAAATGGTCCCTGTTTAATGTTTCACTAAACACCCACTCATTGTACCTTAAGTCTAACCCTAACAGTTGAGACAAACTGCTCAACCATTTCAGTAGTATGTGTCAGCCTTGACATGATAAACTCAGAGAGCTTATCAAATGGCAAAGAAAATTTTAAGTTAACATGAGTCTCATAAATGTCTAGCTTAAGGGGTAGAACACAGAAACACACATGAAATAGCAATGCTCTGATTTCATTCAATAATAAATATCATATTACATCAATCTGGTTGGAGTTGAAGGCATACATTGTCTAACACTTGTAGCATTTTCCAGCAATGGTATTGATGACATTGACTTCTTGAAAGTTATGACCTTACTTCAAGTTTCCATGTTCTTCTTAGGCTTTAACTAATTCAGGTAAAAGGGAACTTCCTTTCACAAGCTAGCTAATGGAGACACAAATCAATAGCAATGTGGCTGAAAGCAGAAGAAAATAATACTACTTTCTTCCACAAGCTAGCTAATGCAAGAAGGGTCAATTCCATAAAGAAGATGGAAAATGGAGGATGGATAGTGGAGCAAGAAAAGGAAATAGCAGATACTTTCATAAGTATCTATAAACAGCTTTTTAGTGACCCCTACAAGCAAAGACCAAATTTGGATGGGTTACAATTTGGG